ATGAGTCAAAAATGCTAATCCATTGATATGAGGAAATTCCAATGCATTCTTGCGACTTTTGAAATGGAAAACTGGTCTCATTGAATACTACATGTCAAGAGACGAATATCTTTTCACCAGATGAGTAAAAGCATTTGTATCCTTTGTGTCTGTTACTATATCCCACAAAGACACAAGTTAGTATTACATTTGTTTTTGTGTGTGTCCCAAGTGTAAGGAAAACATTTAGAACCAAATACTTGCAAGAAAGAGTAAGAAGGGTGAAAAACATGCAACTTAAAGTAAGGAGTATCAAAATTAATAGCAAAAGATGGAAGTCGCTTTAGTAAAAAAAACTGCAGTTGTAAAAGCTTCCAACCATAAGTATAAGTGTGCACCACAATGAAATAATATGGTCATACCTTAGTCACGGATTATTCTAATGTCAACCGTCAACTATACCTATTTGTTCTGGAGTACGAGGACAGGAAATTTGATGAACTATTTCCTGCACTTGGAAATGAGAGATGAGTCTTGATTAACAAATTCACCACCTCCATCAGAATGAAAGATTTTTATTTTTGTATCAAATCGTTGTGCTACATAAAGTTCAAACGCCAAATAAGCATTGAAAAAATCAGCTTTAGTTTTGAGAGGTATTATCCAAGTATAACGTGAAAAGTCATCTCCTAGACAGGCATAATACCAAAATTTTCCAAGCGATAAATAGGCCCTGGACCCCACAAATCATAGTGTACTCTGTTAAAAATAGTTGAGCTAGAGTTTTTGGAACAATAAAAAGGCATTTTGCTCAATTTGCCTTATTGACGACTATCTCAAATAGATTGTAATTTTTTAAACTTGAACTTGAATCAAGCCCTTATTCCTAAGTAATTGAAGTGCGGATGCTTGGGGATGTTGTAGCTATTAATGCCATATTTCTGAAGTGTTTGATCTAAATCGATTTGATGAGGACAGGAAAGGACAAACAAATCATCCTTGCATTTTCCTGTCGTCACTTTGTGACCCATCTTTCATTCCTAAACACCAAAATCCACATTAGAAAATTCACAGTTTAATGGATAGTTATCAGCGAGCTGACTAACAGAGAGTAAATTCTTTGCTAAATGGGGGAACATGAAGAACATTATGGAGAAGGACATCAAAGTTAATTTTAACACATGAATCACCAACAGCTTTAATGGGAAGGGAAGTGCCATCTCCAATTATAACAAAATCTGTCCCTAAATATGGGCATAAATTTTTCAACATACCTGCATTATGTGTCATATGATTAGAAGCTCTTGCATCAGATGTCCATTTACTATCAATAACTGAGTTGTCTAGAGTAAGTGCAGCCAGTGCTTGTGGAATTTCATTCTGTTGGACAAATTGCTTAGGTAACTACTAGCAGATCTTAGCATATTACACCACAATATTGACGGCTCTCATTATCGTACATACCCCTCTCTACTGGTTTCATGAGACGTCGGTGCTAAACCAGTTTCAACGCTGTTCATATTCGTGTAGAAGTGATACTAATTTCGTGGAGGCTTTAACATAGTCGTAGTAAAGGACTCATATTTTGGCCCTAGACTTGTGAAAAAGCCTTTACTTTGTCAGGTACAAGGATTTCTATTGTTGCGAGGCTATCACAGATGCTCGTGAATTTGCTAATATGCTTGCCAATGGTGGTGTTTTCTTCTTTGCATAGTCGCATAGATACATTATTTGTTAACAAAATGTAAACTCTAGCTCCTGAGAGTCTTGTACATAGGCTTCCTCGAGTGCGTCCCACACAAATTTCGCAGTGTCTAGGCCAATAACAAGACTAAAGGCTTCTACAAATATCATTATTTGCATACTTCCATTCCTCTCGCTTAATTACATCAAGTAGACAGACTGAGAATAGGCTGCCTTGTTCAATTCGTTGTCCACCACCTTTCTTTCTTGTGTGCGATAACTAGTTTTAGCTCTAAATTTTCCCTTTAGCGATGCCTAATTTTGTCCCATTCTTTAATATTTCAAAAATCTTCACATAATTTGTCCACTTCTATGTGCGTATGTTTATTTACATAGGCATTTATTGAATCTGCTAATTTGTTTTCAACTAGGCTTTGAATAATCCTAACACCACCTAATAGCAAATTGTAACCTGCCACAATTGTGATCCCTTATTAATAATGTTTGTTTACAATAAATTTGAAGCTTGAATATTTATATAGTAAAATAAAAATTATGATTCCAGCTCCAAGTTAAAAATAAACAAATAAAGTAACTCAAAAGTCACTGAGAAATGAACAAATCCTAAATAAACGTATCAAAAACCATAAATCAAGTCATGAATAATGGATAGCATTGAGAGAACAAGGAACAATAGCCATTCTCATTTTCATCAGATTTTGCACCTCAAAATGCAAAAGATTTTGCTCTAATCTCCTTTGCAAGTGTCGAGTGATTGTTATTTTAAGAGACTAGAAGGCATTCATATTTCGGATCGTCAATAATATTTAGTAGACATTTTATCAAGCAATAAGGCATTGCAGGAACAAAAAATAGGAACCTTTAGTTATTGATCTGGCAAAAGATTTTTTGAGTTAGATCAGTCACCCGCAACAGCAATAAAGGAATCCATGACCATTAACCTGCCTCTCACTATTTCTGAATACTGGGAATAAAATCTAGAAAATAGATAATAATTATGAACACAACTTTCAGTGGAAACAAGAAGAAATCTCATTGCTTCAACTTTCCCGGGTAAAAAACCAGAAAAGAGGAGTATGGAAGACTTCTATGAGAGTATGAGACCTTTATTTAATAAATAGACGTCCATAAATAACAAAGACAATGCACCTTAACACATAGATCAAGAAGTTGATAAAACATGAAATCAGGCAAATAAATCATTGTAAACTAAAACTACCAAAAGGAGGCCTACCTCCTAAAACAACTATATTTCGCATTGGACTTGTTTATGCAATGATAAACTACGTCCCAAAAAGGTGAAAGTGTTATGTCTTAAGTCCAATCAACTTTGGTATAAGTACTTTTAATATATAATTGATACAATTTTATGGCAGATCTATTATTTGATTAATTTTTTAATAAATTAAAAAATAGAATTTGTAGATTCAAGTCTTGATAATTTGTTAATAACAATGAATTGTGATTGTGATATACAAATTACATATGATTGAATCTTAAATCATTCGTGTTGTAAGTAATAATGAGATACGAATATTGTTATTACGGATAGACCATCACGTGTGATATTTTTTACTTATGAAGTAAGTAGTTGATTTCATAGGCTAAAATGTAGTGAAACTTAAATGAATACGGGGATGTTTTGTTATAAAACAAAACATTGGAGACCCGTCGGGTGATATTACGTGGATAACTATCTGAGTGTCAATAGTAAATTTCTAATGTTCAATAGTGGAATTGGTCCTTTAACTTGAGTTCATCATGTTGCCTCATATGAGGACAATCATATTTGATGATGTTGGATGTTACTATGCTAAGGGTCGCCAATGCGACATCGTTCGGTATTTCAAGAATTGTATGAAAGTTATGAATGATCAATAGAAGATTTGTTACTCTTAATTAGTAAGAGATTATGATCTACATTTCATTCAGTTAAGCTGATAACAAAATTCTTGACCAAGGTGTACATGTAAGTCAAAAATGAGTTTTCGACTTATATTGACTTAATAGTAGAATGAAAGATATGATCGATAATTGAGATTGACACGTCTCCATATCTCAAGATTGATCTGATCATATTGACGAAGTGATTATAGTTTCATGGTAAACGAGCAAATTTTTTTTTTGCCAAACCACATGATTTTTTCGTCACATGTATTGTCCTAACATATTGCAAGATGTCAATCTGGGATAATGGATGTGAATTGGTAATAAATTAAATGGGGTATTTTAATTTATCGATTTTGATTAGATCAAAATATTAATTTATGTCATTGGGCTTCGTGATCTCTAATGAGTTACATATAAAATGAGAACTAGAAGAATGTGATTTATCAATTAATTAATTGACAAGTTTTGGATAATTAATTAATTAAGTTGCTTGTTAATCGGCCCGAATTAATTAACCTAATTAATTCATGGACCAAATTTAATTAATTGAATTAATTATATATTGGACCGGATTAATTTTAGAGTCTGGCTAAGTCCAATTGAACATGTATTATTAATAGCTGCTAGGGTTTGAAAAATCCAGAAAGAGCATAATTATTCTTGATAGCTTAAGAAAAGAAAATCTTAATTCTCTCAATCTTGTTCTTTATGTGAATTTTCATTGGAGGCTGGATAATTTTTCATGTTACAAGATCAGTAAAGGAGTTTGCCGAATCTACAAAAATGTATAATTCTTATCACAGTTTCTATCTAAAGACAAAACAGATTCTTGGTGAAAATTAAAATTATTTTATTTTTTGCTATACAGAATTAAGTAAATTCTAAACAAAAGAACCATTCACAACAATCAAAGGTTAAAAAAGCTAAAGGAAGAAAAATCTTATAATCTTTCACTCTAAAATCTGCATCGAATTCTAGAGTTCTCCAATTGAAATTTAAAGTGCCTTTTTCGCTGAAAGTTTTCGGTGTATTATGACATCGTCGTTAGCACCTATTAATGTGTAAGTCTAGTGTTCAAGTTTCCCACAAGCACATAGCCATTGTATTTTGGCGTGAAAGTACGGCAACATTTCTTCTATTGGCAAGCACGAAGTTCAAATTGGTGAGATTTGACTCTCGCATTTCTTCTTTGTATCAACTTTCAAAGGCATTGACCTAGCCACAACCACACTCTGAAACTTTGCGTTCTTTGTAGCAAGATTGATATTACCAATGGAAAGGCTATCTCGAGGAGGCATATCATCCGCAATTATGGCTCAATCCAAATATTTTCGTGATTATCATTTTATATTTACACATCTAGCAATCCACTGTTGTAGTCTAAACTATTAACTACAGACCCATCTTTGAAAGTAGAGCTGCTATATTATACAATTAAAAGATCATCAATGAAATTACAGAACCATCTGCAACAATTCTCCATTTAATGATTTTTATTTAATACTGTGTACAAACTCTTCCAGAACCTCAGTGCACACAAAAAGAGCAAATACAATTTGCATAAGTGGAATGTTCATACTACAATATCAGAAAAAGCGTAACCACAGCAACAAGAGCTTCGGGCCATTTACTCAGCCTCTCTTTGATCAGATTCTCCGGCCATTCACTATCTCCTTCTTCTGGCTCTGGCTCTGGCTCTGGCTCTGGCTCTGGCTCTGGCTCCAGCTCCTTGTATTTGTAAATGTAAGCAATTAAAATAAACACAAGCATATTTACTGAACTCAAGGCTGCAAGCACCCAGTAATATCGATCTAGTCGACTCTTGTTCAACGTATACTGGAACCAGTTTTGTCTACCACCCTTCTCACTAATTTTACCAACCACATAAACCGAAAGCACACCCCCTATGAATCCTAGACCAGATACTCCTCTACTCGAGTATTGGAGGTAATTTATCATTGATTTGGGAGCCTGATCCTTGAAGAAAGCAACTGAGCTCTTCTCGATAAACGAGACCAGGCCAGCAAGAAGGAAAAACTGGTAAAGGAGCCAAAATATACTCATTGGGATATCGTCTTCAGACTTGTCGAGTAAATCGTGTCTTCTAATCACTTTCAGCCGTCGAATCTCTATTATGGCAGAAGTTATGCAACACAGTACTGAGAATACCATAGCCACTGCAATTCCAACGGGAGGTGCATACTTTTTACATCCAGCAAAGTAGCTTGCCAAACGGGCGCAGGATATGGAAAACAGTGCTTTCGCAAAGTTAAACAGCAGGAGAAACACAGGAAGAGGAATTTTCCATTTTCCAAGCTTTCGATCCAAGTGATTTGCTTGTTCCAGGAAGTACGTGTTTCCCATAGAAGATACGATCCCACAAACTATGAATGTCATCCACATTGGAACCATCCGAACAACAATTTTCGCTTCTTCTACTTCTGCAACTGTGCAAAGCCTCCACCTATTCTTTTCCTGTTCTTCTAGATTTTTATCACGCAATATGATGGCAGCCTTCTCTAAGCCCTTGTGTTAAAGCAAAAAAAAAAGAATAAGAATCAATTTAGGAAAAGATAAGGTTAACTAGTTCTTCGGACGTTTCTCGTTAATTAATTGTTTCAAATGCGCCTAATGTAAAGGAAATAGACGAGTGAAAACCTGAGAACACGAGTACGGGAAAATGACTGATGCTCAGGGCCATCTTTCCTATAAAGTTTTTTATCATCAAGAGGAAATTGTTGCGATATCTTAAAAGTAGAGGCCACAAAGACTCTGCAAACATTTGTCAATGGACTCCCCTGTGGTTCAGGCTTAATGTACGAACACGAGCCGCTCAAGAATAGAAGTGTCGCAACAGCAGTACAGATTGCCGGAATTCCAAAGCGGATTGACCATGGTTTTATGCGAGGTAGAATAATAGCTCCAATTATTGGTGGCACAATGGTCACCATAACCATGCCTAGTATCTGAAAATAAATTTTATTGCCGTCATCAATGTCAAAGTTCGTTCTCTGTTTAACAAAGAAAGGATACAGAGAGACGCTGTGACCAGCTATTCCTACAGCTAACAATGCCAAGGCCGTGTAGAACAAAACTTTTTGAGTGCCGCATATACAATTTGGTTCGTAGTCTTTGCAGGTGCCCATGGAACTGGCGAGGACTGGCGGTGTTGACATGTAAAGAAACCCCATACCCTGGAAAAAGTTGGAGTTCAGAAAACTTGAGAACTTCACTTCAGGTAGACAAGGAAATTACTGAACACAAGCATCACCGTCTCAGAAACTTTTAACACAGACAAAGTTATTAAGGGTGCGTTTGTTTTGTTATATTCAAGCTGTTTTCAATTTTTAATTTTGTAAAACAATGAAAACGTGTCTGGTGTGGATAAACCTGTGAGATAAAACTCAAAACACATTTTTATCGTTCTTAATATTTTCAGAAAATTCTGAAAACACTCGAAACTTTAAAAATAAGCGTTTAAAAAGAATTTTGAAAAATAAGAATATAAAATTCTAATGTATAAAATTTTAAAAAGTAAAATTCAAGAAAAAATAAATTAAATAAATTTTAAAAAAATAAAATAAAAAAATTTCAAAAGTAAATTTTCAAAAATGAAAATAAAAAATTCCTAATGAATAAAATTATAAAAAATTTCTAGAAACATAAAAAAAATAAAAAAATAAAAAAATTCAAATTCTTAATGATTATTTGCATAAAACGTTTAAAAAATATTTATAAATGAACACAGATGAAAAACTCCCAATGCACGTCATAATTTCTTATTTATTATTTATTTTACTTTTGTAGCAGGAAAAAAATTGTAAGATTCATGAACCCTAAAATGTATATATTATTCGATAATTTATTAACATAAAATTGTTCAATACTTACTAAATAATCAAATTCCATAGACTAAATTGCAATAAAAAAGATTTTCAAAGTTTTGAGTCAAACTCATTTTCTAATTTTTTATTTTGAGAAATAATTTTTCATTTAATTAATCACATTTTTTGCCATTTTAAAACAGATACTAGAAAACTGAAATTGAATTCAAAACTCAAAATAGAAAATCAAAATACAAACCAAATAGTTGTCCTGAATGTTTTGAGCATAAAAGAGTTAAATTGTTGGGGCCATGTTATTCCGTTCTAATTATAGGAGAGAGAAGAGGAAGAAGGCATTCTTTGGATGAACCAACCCAACTGGTCTTTACATGGACTATAACTTGTTTTGTTCAAAGACTTCTTCCGACGATTTTTCAGGTGTCAAACAATGATATTTTTATGAAATAAAGGGCGCGCTGCAGCAAATCGTTAAGGTCCGCTCGACCTTTACTTGTATAGGGCGAAAGTAACACGATTGATGTTATTAATCTGTCCACGAAATTCTTCTCTAGATAAAGGGTTTTTTATTCAATATTTTCTAAAACTTAAATCTCACATACACCGAGGCATTAGTTATTCTTGATTTATACTACCATGATTTAAGTTTATGTACATCACAGTTCGAAAAAGCGTAAATCTGTTGTAAATGGAAAGTCCATTAAAGTTTATTGGTAAATAATATTTGTACCCCTATAGCCCTAGAAATTATTACCATTGTATCCCTGATTCTTACTTATAAATATAGGGCTTTAATTTTCAATAATACACACAAAAGTTTATTGAGTTTTCTCTATTCTCTTTTCCTTTCATTTTATAATACGTTATCAGCATGAAACTCTTAGAAGGTAGTAATTTTTTTTCATAATCATCTATCAC